AAGAACTCCAAGTTAAGAACAGGGCTGGACTGGATGGCCTTTGGAGGCCCCTTCCAAATCTATAATATGATATCTATCGCGCGCGCGTGTGTGTGTATATAATGCAGTCACTGAGTTACAGACATACAACTTACAAACAACGTTTGGTTAAGAACGGGACTGGACTAGATTGCCTTTGGGGGTCCTTTCCAAATCTATGATATGATATGATATCTATCTCATATACACACACACATACATACATATATACATAGCCTCAGAGTTACAGACATTTGACTTGCAAACAAATCCTAATTAAGAACAATGGGTTTGGGGCAACAAGGAATGAAATCTCCCCCTTGAAAGGAAGGGAAATCCACTCCTGGAAGAGTCATGATCAGGAGGAAAAGGGGTCTCCTCCACTTGTTTCCACAACAAGCCAATCTGTTAGGGATTGTGGGAGCTGAAGTCCAAAACACTTGAAGGAGGGGCGAAGTTTTCCCATGCCTGTCCTAGGGCCAAAAGCCTCACGAGTGCCAAGGACACTGTGCTTCTATTGCCCACCCACTCCATGGAGAGCAGATCCGGGATGTCCAGGGCAGGGTGTGCCTTCACGCCTACCTCTTCCCTTGGGGCAAACTTGACCTGGACGTTGAGCCGCTCTCCGGGGCCCAGGATCCCGTAGGGAGGGATCATCTCAAAGACAAAGGGCTTGGTCTTCAGTTCATGGCGCAACTTCCGCCGCAAGGCCGCTGGCATGTGCTTGTCCACCTGAGGAGCAACCAAGTCACTATCACAACTGGACCTTTGTGCTGCTGCAAGAAGACCTCTGGGAATAACCCTCTGATTTTAAAACACCACATGTTGAGTAGGAAAACAATCCTTTTTTATTGAAGATAAGTAAAAGCAGCAAAGTAAAAAAACACTTTAAGGGAATAGGTAAATCCAATTAGGTAAGAAGATAAGCAGGAACAAATTAGTCCAAGGTAGGGTTCAGCAAAGTTAAAAAAACAAAGTCCAGACATCTGCAATAAAATCCAAAGAAACAAGGAAACAATCCAAGGCATGAATAGGTAATCACAAGAGACAAAGAGTCAAAACATACAGCAAGAAATCCTTAAACAGGAATCTTCCAAGCAAGGCTTCCATGAGACAAGAGCAAGAACTTAGCAGGATTCTAAAACGATGCTTCATCTGACTATATTTCCCATGCTTGAAACTTTATACCACTAAGCCATTCCAAGGATTCAGAAATTGGTTTCATTTTCCCCGAATGTCTCTCATCCTTATCTGATGAAGCCTGGCAGAACGCCGAAGGCCTTGGTCAAGCTGTCTGTTTTGGCTAATTTCCACCCGCCTGTCTATATGCTCATTAGTTTCTGCAGGTGCCGAGTTGTTTTCAAGCCCCGAATCCTGGGAACTCTCTGGGAGCAATTCAGGGAGTAAACTTTCATCCCTATACCCTGTAGAAACATTCTCATGAGAAACTACACTTTGAACCAGCGTCTCTATGTCATTCTCTGCATTAATATCATTGACCAAACCATTGCCATCTTGAACCTCATTGACATCATTTCTCACCTCCAAAGCACCTTGATCTTGAAACATAATCCCATTGCAAAGACAGAGACTAAGGAAAGCCAAGGACTAAGGAAAGGGGAAAGGGAAGCCTGCTTTACCTTCTTCATTTGCTCGCTGCTGTGAGCAAACCACTCGCAGTTCACCTGCAGCTGGTTGTGAAGCTGGATGGTCTCCACTTGGCACTGGCCGCACTGGACTGCAGAGAAGTCCAGGTTCTCGTTGGACATGCAGAGGGACGGCATGATCACCGTGGCCCGGAAGGAGACGTGGAAGGTGGGCCCGGAGATCACCTAGAATCATAAAAGTTGGAAGAGACCCCAGAGGCCATCTAGTCCAACCCCATTCTGCCAGGCAGGAAAAGCACCATCAAAGCCCTCCTCTGTTAAGGAGCTTCCACCAAAGTGAGCTCTTACAATCAGGAAGTTCTTCCTAATCTTGAGTGGAATCTCCTTCCCTGCAATTTGAATCCATGATTCCATTGAGTCCTAGTCTCCAGAAAAGCAGAAAACAAGTCTCTCCCTCTTCCTTATGACATCCTATGAAGTCTCCTCTCAACCTTCTCTTCTGAGGCTAAACAAACCCAGTTCTTTAAGATGCTCCTCAGAGAGATTTTTCATGGTCTCCAGACCTTTGGTCCTTTTGGTTTCCCTCCTCTGGACCCCTTCCATAGAGTCATAATCCCTCTTGGATTGCTTTGCCCAGAACGGGACACAGTCTTATTCCAGGTACAGAGGGCTGACCAAAGTGGAATAGAGGCACCATGACCTCCCTCAACCTGGACACTATTCTCCTTTGAATGCAGCCCAAAATCCCATTGGCAATTTGAGTTGCTGCATGACATTGAACCTTTGTGTCTGCAGGACTGCTGACTGAAAGATCAGAGGTTCAAATCCAGGGAGCTGGGTGAGCTCCCATCTGTCAGCTCCAGCTTCCCATGCGGGGTCATGAGAAAAGCCTCCCACAGGCAGAGGCAGCCCTAGGTAATTTTCAATGGTAAGCAAACAGTATTTTGGTGCCCCCCCCC